GTTTACCAACTGTGTTTTATCTAAACAGTACTACAACTATACAATGTTTTTTTTTGAGACAGAGTCTCACTGTTGCCCAGGCTGGAGTACAGTGGTGCAACCTTGGCTCACTGCAACCTCTGCCTCTTGGGTTCAAGCAATTTTCCTGCCTCAGCCTCCCAAGTAACTGGGATTACAGGTGCTCACCACCATGCCCAGCAAGTTTTTTTGTATTTTCGGGAGAGACAGGATTTCACCACGTTGGCCAGGCTGGTTTTGAACTCCTGACCTCTGTTGCCTTGGCCTCCCAAAGTGCCAGGATTATACAATGTTTCTATGAAAGAGTTATCAAAAATTCAATTAAAAGGCAAAATATAATTTACTGATTTCTTATCTAGGAACAAAGTTCCTTACCTAAAAACATGGAGGATTTTAGGAATTTCTCTGAAACTATACACATTTCATGTACATAATATAGTTTTCTTAGAAAAGACTACTTTTATCTAATTCTTAAAGGGCTCTGTGACATGCTCCCCGCCACAAATGATTCATAACCACTAATCTAATCTTTGCAATTTTCTAGGTTCTTTAAACTTTTGCATACACTATATGTTATTTTGATATATTTTAAGAAAAAAAGCCTAGAATGGTGATTCTTGCCTATAATCCTAGCACTTTGGGAGGCCAGGGCAGGAGGCTGGGAGTTCTTGACCTGCCTGGGTAACAGAGAGAGACCCTTTCTCTACAAAAAAATTTTTAAAAAACAACCAAAAAACACAACTAGCTGGGCATGGCAGAGCATGTCTGTAGTCCTAGCTACTTGGGAAGCTGAGGTGGGAGGGTCACTTGAACCCAAGAGGTCAAGGTTGCAGTGCACTATGATCATACCACAGCACTTCAGCCTGGGTAATACAGTGAGATCCTAAAAAAAACTCACTCAACAGAGTCAGAAGAAAATAAGACCCTATCTCTCTTTCTCTTTCTCTCTCTCTTTAAGTTCCATGGAACTCTGCTTGATAAGATACCCTATCTCTTTAAAAAATAAATAAATACCTGTAAACCCAGCACTTTGGGAGGCCGAGGTAGGCGGATGACCTGAGGTTCGGAGGTCGAGACCAGACTGACCAACATGGAGAAACCCTGTCTCTACTAAAAATATAAAAATTAGTCGGGCGTGGTAGCATATGCCTGTAATCCCAGCTACTTGGGAGGCTGAGGGAGGAGAACTGCTTGAATCCAGGAGGCGGAGGTTGAGGTTAGCCAAGATCATGCCATTGCACTCCAGCCTGGGCAACAAAAGTGAAACTCCGTCTCAATATATATATATATATATATATATATATATACACACACACACACACACACACATACAAATATATCATTAGAACACTAATGAAAAACACAAAAGTAAACAACTCAGAAAGACATATATGCCTTTGGGCAGAAAAGTTCAACATCAAAAAGATTCTCTTAAAATGAGAATCCACCAGAAATACCAGATATTAAAACTTACAAAGCCTCAATAATTAAAAGAGTATGATGCTGCTGCATATAGACACAAAAGACCAAGACCTGACTTTAAACTCCAGAAACACAGCCAATACATATGAGAATTTGATAAAGGTGGAATCTCTAGTGAGGAAAAGATGGCTATAAGAAAAAATGGGCCAGGCATGATGGCTCATGCCTGTCATCCCAGTACTACAGGAGGCTGAGGCATGTGGATCACTTGAGCTCAGTACTTTGACACCAGCCTGGCCAACATGGTAAAATCCTATCTCTGCTAAAAAATACAAAAATTAGCCAGGTGGTGCCATGTGCCTATAATCCCAGCTACTTGGGAAGCTGAGGCATGAGAATCATTTGAACCTGGAAGGCAGACGTGGCAGTGAGCCAAGATCACGCCACTGCACTGCAGCTTGGGCGACAAAGCAAGACTGTCACACACATAAAAAAATGGTGTTGGGACAACTAAGTATCCATCTAGAAAAACAAAACCAAAGCTGGATTCATATTGCATATCATCTATCTAGATAAACTCCAACTATGTTAAAGATTTAAATGTAGAACATACAAGTTAATGGAAGAACCTAAAAAGCTGTGCTTCCTGTGTCTCCTCCCCACCAACCTGAACCTCATCTGGTCCAACTACCAATTTCAGAAGAACAACTCCTCCTCTGCAATCAGCAAAACCCAGACTGTGGACAAATTCAGGACAAACTCAACCTAGTTTCTTCAGTAAATAATTTTAAAAGGGGGGAGAAAGCAAGATGAAGAAAGAACCTAGAACCTAAAAATTAAAAGAAACATAAAAACTATCAAATAACTGCAAATTAGGAAATTTATATGGATCTTGAGTCAAACAAATACATGGTTAAAAAAATAAAGACATTTAGAAAGAGATAATCAGAGACTTGTACATAGACTAGATAATGAAAATAGTGACTCATTGTCAATTGTTTGGTAAGTATAACATGGCAATGAGGCTAGGTTAAAAAAAAGAATCCTTTTAGAGATAAAACTAAAATATTTACAGATGAGAAAAAATATAGGAAGTGTGGAAGTAGGACATGGCTGGAGAAGAATTAGCCATGGGATTTACAGTGATTCAAGGAAGGAGAGAAACCATACAAATACAAGTATTTTGATAAATGTAGCATCTCTACTAAGGCCTATTCACTATCAGAATCTATTTGATTCATTAGCTGATATAGTGAGTTCTAACAGTGATTTAGATATCAAGTTTGGGATAAAGAAGAATACCATGTTATTCAATTATATGTAGTTATTGAGTTTTGGGAAAATAGGTAGCAAGAGCTTAGAAAGTGTGGAAATATTCTTTTATAAACTTAGGAGTCGGAAAGGCCTTCAAATTTATATTCAAAATCCAGAAGCCATAAAGGGGGTGAAGAAAACCCCAATAAAATAAAAAACTATATTCTCCAATCATACCAAGGGTAAATCTCCATAATACACAAGAATTCCTACAGATTTACTATGAAAAGGAGTACAATAGGAAAATGGACAATATATGAATATACAGTTCACAGAAAAAAATTCTAATGGTTCTTAAACATACAATATTCATTCTATCCCTAAAAAATGCAAATTAAAACTTTAATGAGATAAGCATTTTTGGCCAGGTGCAATGGCTCATGCCTGTAATTCCAGCATTGGGAGGCCAAGGCAGGATAATTGCTTGAGTCCAGGATTCAACACTAGCCTGGGCAACACAGTAAGAACCCATGAAAAATAAATGAATGAATGAGCCAGGCTTGGTGGTACATTCCTAGTCCTAGCTACTTGGGAGGGTGAGGCAGGAGGATTACTTGGGCTCAGGAGTTTGAGGCTGCAGTGAGCACTGATCACACCACTGCACTCTAGGCTAGGCAACAGAGAGAGATGCTATCTCCAAAAAGAAAAAAACAAAACAAAACAAAGAGATAAGCATTTTCTACCTATCATGTTGGCATGAAGTTCCATAACATTCTGTTGGCAAGATTATAGGAAAAGAGGCACTCTTTATCACAGGAATATGAGTAAACCGGTAGGCAACAGCTATCAAAATTATAAACACTCTAATCTTTGATCTAGCAATCTCACTCCTGGATAATTCACTCTACTAATATTCCTGCACACGTATGAAATGACATACACACAAGGTTATTAAATACAGCATTTTTGTAACAGTGAAAGACCAGAATCAATCCAAGTGTCCTTCAATGTGGCATTGATTGATTAAATTATATAATGTTCATACAATGGAATCCTATGATAGTACAAAAACAGAGACAACAGAATAAGGAAACTAGATGCTAATATGGAAAGATCTCATAGGCAAGTAAAAAAAAGCAATGCATAGAACAGTGTGAATGTTTTATTATTATTTTATGTAAAAAATAAATAAAAGAGAAAAATAACATATAAGGCCAGGAGACTGAGACCGGCCTGGCCAAAATGGTGAAACCCCATTTCTAGTAAAAATACAAAAATTAGCTGGGTGTGGTGACACACGCCTATAATCCCAGCTACTTTAGAGGCTGAGGCACAAAAATCGCTTGAACCTGGAGGCAGAGGTTGCAGTGAGCCAAGATGACGCCACTGCAATCCAGCCTGGGCTACAGAGTAAGACTCTGCCTCAAAAAAAAAAAAAGATGAAAGAAAGAAAGAAATGTATACAGGTAAATATGAGGGAAGAAGATTTTTCTCTGTATATTGTTAAATATACTAATTTAATTTTTGAACCATGTGACTATTATTACCCATTTAAAAAAATCCTTAAACACAAAAGCCACTGAAGATTTTCATTAATCGTAACTTCTTAAATTTAAACTTCAAAAAAAATTGCAATTTTCAGCACCATGGGAAAGGTTAAAAAATGCAATTAAGTAAAAAACAACAACAAAATCTGTAGAAAAACAAATGTATGTTACATAAAATTGGAGAATAGTCTGAAAATATCAGAGCATTTTAATGTACAGATACAAAAATGCACAGCTCTAAAAACATAAGAAAATTATCTTTAACTCAGATATACCACAGTTACTGAGTTACATAAGCATCCAAGAGGATTCAGGTCAAGCTGAAAGGTATATCAGTGCCTCGACTTTTTTTGGCATCAGGAACCAATTTCGTGGCAGATGAATTTTCCACAAACCCAGAGTAGTGGAGAAGGAGGGCATGGCTTTGGGATGACTCAAGTGCATTACATTCATCATTAGAATCTTATAAGAAGCGAGCAACTTAGATCCCTTGCATGCACAGTTCACACAATAGGGTTTATGCTCCTAGGAGAATCTAGTGCTGCTGCTGATGTGAAAGAAGTGGAGCTCTAGCCCACAGCTCACCTCCTGCTGTGCAGCCCAGTTTCTAACAGGCCATGGACCAGTACGGGTCTGTGGCTGCAGGGGCTGGGGAATGTGGGGTATATCATTCTCAGATTCCTTCCTCATTTTTCTCTAAAATAACTTTATCAACATCATATTTATAGGGTGGGGAAAAAATTGTAATCTTCTACTTACATTTTCATTTTTCAAGATGAGTTTCAGGATTGCTTCTCTCTGTTTTAAAGCCTAAAAGCAGAATAATTTCCAGTTAATAGATCATTTTTTAAAAAAAGATTAATTAGTGTTCCTAATATTTTGTCCCTTCTAAAATATCTCTCAGTACTTACAGGAAACAACAGAAACTCTGATGAGGTCAACGCAAGGTCTAGATTCAAGACCGTAGAGGAATTATTTGTCGTTTTCCTACTGAACTGTATCTTCTTACTCTTTATGTCCAGTGCCCAGTGCAATGTCTGGGAAATAACATGCCTTTAATCTTTAATGACTAAATGAATGCCTATGACTATAATGTCTTTCCTCTATAGTTTAGCAATCTTTATTTTTTTCCCTTCATGTAGGAAACTCATAAAAACTGATCACTACCATAAAATATATTATGAATAATTCAAAGAGATGGCAACAGTAACCTCTGAGTTCCTCCATTTCAACATATAACTTTTTTGACCACTAATTTATATTAGTGAGTTTTTATTTAGTGCTGATGATATATTTTACATATCTGAGTGCTTTTCTCCCAGTGATAATTCCTATTTTTACATTATACAATAAATACAAACCACATTTAGCTCCTTTTAAAGAATCCCTCAGCTACATAGTCAATATAGATGCTTTCTAAAACTATCATGGCTGAACTTATTCCTATTCCAACAAACACTGACAAAACAGAGCTACTTACAATGACTACCACATCGAATTACCTGAAAAAACAAACCAAACCCTGTTCTTTCAGTAATTGAAATGTGTTAAGTAGGAAGGTTAATATGATATGTTGTGTGATCACCAATAAATACTTTTTGTTAAACATTTCACTTGGAGAAAAGTTTTAAGTTAAGATTAACCATACACTTTGACATCGTGGTTACATAAGAAAAAAACCTAACCTATCGTGTGTAAATTTACTAAAAATGGAATAAAAAGGAGGTTACAAAGTTTCTATTTCTATGTTAACACTATACAAATTTATAATAAATTTGATAAAACCTGTTACAACCCATTTTGATTACTCACAGGATATATTAAATATACACCTTTAATGCTGGCTACTTTTCATGTTACTGTATCCGACGTTCTATTATACCGTACATCACAAACCTTAGCTGGCCAGGCACAGTGGCTTATGCCAGTAATCCTAACACTTTGGGAGGCCAAGACGGGAGGATCCCTTGAGGCCAGGAGTTGAGACTAGCCTGAGCAACATAGTGAGAACCCCATTTATAAAAAAATTCAAAAATTAGCCAAATGTGGTGGTACACGTCTGTAGTCCTAACTACTCAGGAGGCTGAGGTGGAAATATTGTTTGAGCCCGAGTCAAGGCTACAGCGGGCTATAACTGTACCGCTAACAGAGCAAGACTCTGTCTTTAAAAATAAAAAAACTTAATTGTCCATTGTACCATTGGCTTAGTGACAGAGATTCTATAAATTATCTTCAGAACCAATGAAGTAAACAAATTTTTTTTTAAATGTTCTGATATCTTGCTTACAAAATAAAATCAAAATTCTTGTGCAAAGCATATAAAGTTCACCTAAACCTAGAAGCAGTCTACCTTTCCAGCCTCCTCTCCATCTGTATTCCTTGGCGCTCTCATCAAACTAACCCTAGAACCCACCATTCAACAGTGATTCCACAACTTCTTGCCTTTGTTCATTCTGGCAGAAAAGCCCTCCCTTATCTCATTTGCCTGTCAAATTCCTACCATCCTTCAAGATCCAGCAGGATTCTATAAATTCCATGGACTTCCCTGACAGAATATTAGTTTTCGTCATCTCAGACTCTCATTGCTCTTTAAACATACCTCATAAAGCATAGTTTACATTGTTTATTTCTGTGTCTGTCTCTTCAAAACAAGTTCTTCGAGGACCAGGCCCATGTTCCATTCACCAGACCCTAGCAGGTGTCTGACACATATTAATGCTCAATAAATATTAGTCATACTGGTAAGTCATAGGCTGGGCACAGTGGCTCATGCCTGTAATCCCAGCACTTTGGGAGGCTGAGGCAGGCAGATCACTTGAGGTCAGGAGTTCGAGACCAGCCTGGCCAACATGGTGAAACTCTGTCTCTACTAATAATACAAAAATTAGTTGAACATAGTGGTGGGCACCTACAATCCCAGCTTTTTAGGAGGCGAGGAAGGCAAGGAAGCCAAATCGCTTGAACCTGGGAGGCAGAGATTGCAGTAAGCCAAAATCACACCACTGTACTCCAGCCTGGGCAACAGAGCAAGATTCTGTCTCAAAAAAAAAAAAAAATCAGTAATACTAAATAAATTTTATAGTCTCCTACATGGTTTAAAATCTTCATTGGGTGAATTTTCCAATAATATGTACATACTTAACCACTTTATTAAAGTTGTAGCTATAGTAAAGAGTTATAAGAGTAATTTTATAGAGGGCATAACTATCAAGTTTACTAACAAAAACCAATCTGATAAATTACAGAATATAAATGGGACAAATGATTTTTAGCGAGATTAAAAATGGAATTACAGTAAGTCCCACTAAATGGCAACACATGTAACATGCTGATTGTATGGAACATATTTTCTACTAATAAAACCTGTTCTTTCTTTTGCAATTTGAAGGCAGACAGAATTCAAGATCTCAAGATCTATGCAAAAATTATAATTTACTGGTAAGTCATAATCATATACTAGAGGGTACTTCTTAACTAACAAAAAATGCTAGAAAGAAGGCAGAACTAGTTTAACACCATCTAAGCATCTCCATTCTTATAAACTATGATATCCACTGGAATCATTAATCCTATCAGGGAAGCACTGACTACATCTGTTAATAATCAAATAAATCCCAGTTGTTCTTCATGCTAGGACTTCTAAATAGAACAATTCTTTAAGCCAAATTTCTCCAATTTTATTCTATGCTAAACCAAAACTATAATTTAGATTTTCTTATGTATCTTCCTATATAGATAACTTCCTACATCCTAAAGTAAATCACGAAAACAGCCAAGCGAACTTGAGGTAACTACATATATACTTTGAAGAGAAGCAAGTAACACTAATCTTAAGATAGAAATAAGGAAGAGTAAAAAGGACAAAGAAGCAACCATCAGGGTGTCTGCCCCATTCCTTCCCTGTCATAAATAAGTCCTATATAACAACATATTTGTTCTTAAAATTAAAGGTAAAGACCTATAAAAAGGTGAATATTTAACTCTTCATAATATCAATCAAGACTACCTACAGGCTGGTTGATATGAAATCTTGTAGGCATTCTTCTCATTATAGCCGAGTCGAGGTCCTGAGGACGATTGGTAGCTCCCATTACTATGACCTAAGTATATAAAGAAAACACAAGGTATTAAATACATCAATTATACTCCTTCGAGAATGTTATTACTACGGCTTAGTTTAAAAAACTAAGTGGTATTTTAACTAAATCCTTTGTAAGAAAACTGATTTTAATTCACTATTATTCAACTATTTACACATATAAATTGAAGTTAATCCTAATAAGATCAAATAATAGCAAAACTGGAAAACTAATGCATTTCATTTGATGTCTTTCTAGTAATTAAAATATGTAATGTTCGGTTGCAAATAGCTACTCAGGAATTATAAAAATTTCCTTTTAAAAAACTATTGTATTTTGCAAAATGTTTGCTTAATGAATATATGCTGAATGAATGAAAGCCATTATGTTATCGCTTGGGTATACAGTTTGGAAGTGTGGGGGAACAGTTCAAGTCCTTAAATAAAAACTTTATAGAGAGAATCATTTCCCCTTAAGTCTGAAGATTCGGGTAACTGTAATAGATATTGTGTACTTTTTCTCTGTATTTCACATCATCATCTCATGGTACTATCAGCACTGCAGGTGATATCCTCTCAATGCTAAATAAAATCTCAAGTAATCAAACTTTAAAGATAACAGAGTATAAGCAAACATCAAAATGCTGGGAAGAATTCTTTTTAAAAATGCTGGCACTCCTGCCAACTTCTGGGTCTATGTCACTTATTTATAAAAAATGTAGAGATTAAAAAAAAAAAGGAACTATAAAAATAAACAAATAAAGATACATAAAACAAGATAATTTCTGAAGGACATCAATATTACCTTTACTGTTGATACTTCAGTATAACCCAGTAACAATACACATCTGCTATCCAAAATGAAATGTAATGGTATTCCATGGAAACACATTACTCTAACATCATCTTATTTCTCCCTAACAGGTTTTACATTTCTGAAATAATCCAAATCTTACATTCTACCTCTACTCTACATTGAATGACATTCAGGAGCCTCAAAACCCAGTTACTTTCAATTAACTGTGAGAGTTTGCCACCTAGAGGAAGAAAATATAAACATAAATTTGAAAAATAGTTTCACAATACAACATAGTTTGTATTTGTGTTAAGTGGTCCTAAAATAAAAATATTAATGCTCATACCTATTTTTCTTTTTTTCTTTTTTTTTTTTTTCTGTAGACAGGGTCTTGCTCTGTCTCCCAGGTAGAAGTGCAGTGTTTGGGCCGGTCGCAGTGGCTCACGCCTGTAATCCCAGCACTTTGGGAGGCGGAGGCGGGTGGATCACCAGGTCAAGAGATTGAGACCATCCTGGTCAACATGGTGAAACCCCGTCTCTACCAAAAATACAAAAAAATTAGCTGGGCATAGTGGTGCGTGCCTGTAGTCCCAGCTACTCGGGAGGCTGAGGCAGGAGAATTGCCTGAACCCAGTAGGCGGAGGTTGCGGTGAGCTGAGATTGCGCCATTGCACTCCAGCCTGGGTAAACAAGAGTGGAACTCCCTCTCAAAAAAAAAAGAAGTGCAGTGTTGCCCTTATAGCTCACTACAGCCTCAATCTCATGGGGTCAAGCAATCCTCCTGCCTCAGCCTTCTGGGCAGTTGGGGACTACAGGCACATACCACTGTGCCTGGCTAATTTTTCTGTCTTTAGTAAGATGAGGTTTCACTATATTGCCTAGGCTGGTCTGAAACCTCTGGGCTCAAAAGATCCTCCTGCTTTGGCCTTCCAAAGTGCAGGGATTACAAACGTGAAACATTATCCCAGCCTCTTTATTGACTTTCTACAACTCAATAATATTAATTAATAAAAAAGAAAAAATTTCTTCAAAATTTAAAACAAACCTTAAAAGTGAGTGAATGAACTAAACGCATAAGATAATGAATAAGGAAAAAAAAAATCACAAAAGGCACTGTGGTTGAGTCAATATTTGGGGTAAAAAAGGAAAATGGACAACATTTGAAAAAATATAGAACAAAACAAAACAAAATTGAGAAACCAGTACAGAGAATGAAACGCTAGAAAACAGAATCAAGGAATCCAAATAAAATTAGCAAAATATGGTCTATTGAGTATGTACAACAGATACTCATGATGACAAAGCAAAAGTGATTGAAATCACTTGTAGTTTCACATAAAGAAGCAAATTTTAAGGAGTGATTTTCAGCAAAAACAGAGAACTTTTACATATATATTAATTCTACTTAATACAAATGAGCTAAAATTTAAAACAGGAAGTGACAGTAATTTTTTACTACTTAAGCAACACAATCAATGTTCCTTTTAGGTATTAGTTGTTCAAACTTTTTTTGAGATGGAGTCTCGCTCTGTTGCCAAGGCTGGAGTGCAATGGTGCAATCTAGGTTCACTGCAACCTCCACCCTCCCGGCTTCAAGTGATTCTCCTGCTTCAGCCTCCCAAGTAGCTGGGATTATAGGCAACTGCCACCATGCCTACCTAATTTTTTAATTTTTTTTTAGTAGAGATGGGGTTTCACCAGGTTGACCAAGCTGGTCTCAAACTCCTGACCTCCGGTGATCCACCCGCCTCAGCTTTTTTAAGTGCTGGGATTATAGGCATGAGCCACTGCACTCAGCCAGTTGTTCAAACTTTTAAGAAATCTTTATTTTCTGTTCCTGCATTCGTTTGCTAAAAATCATGGCTTTCAGCTTCATCTGGAGGAGGGAGAAGATCAGGAAAAATAACTAAAGGGTACTAGGCTTAATATCTGGGTATGAAATAATCTGTACAACAAAACCCCAAGACACAACTTCATCTACGTAACAAATGTGAACATGTACCCCTGGATTTAAAATAAAAGTTTAAAAAAGAGTCTTTAAAACAAAATGTGAAGATAATTTTTTATCATTTCACATTTAATAATCAAACCTAAATTTACATTTCAAAACTTTATCAATAAATACCCTAAAAACACTATCTTTTTATGTCTCATGTGTCTCAAGATGAAGAATATGTCATTAATTACTAAGGTTTCCCGAAACAGTGATGGGTTTCATTGGGCCATTCTCTATTTCTGTTTCCTTGGTGACCATATTATATTACAAGAAAGCTAGTTGAGTACTGGGCTCTATCCATAATCATAGAAAAAAAAATTCTAGAGAAGAGCTAACTGGTTTACATGCAAGTAAAACATGTCTAAAACAATTATTCAAAATTAATAATATCAACTTTAACCTCCCCCCAAATAAAATAAAGGTTAAAAAGTTATTGTAATTTAATAAAACAGCAGCATCTTCATTCGCTCTCTCAAATCAAAACTCATCATAATAAAAACAGTAATTGCTATTAGCGCAGTAAGGAATTTTGGTTCTGAGAACTCTGTTGCAAGTTATGCTGTACCTGAATCATACTATGGAGCTCTGGAGGCAGTAGCTCTGGAGACTACTTCATCCGATTGCCTCTATATCCCCTGCTGAAAACAATTGAACACTAAGTTCTGATAGGGTATGTAATATTAAGATATTTTCTCTTACATGGGCTAACTATCCAATTGTCTAAGTGCTCGAAGTATTATATCTCAGGGGGAATAGTTTTTGGCAACCTGTACATGAGTCCCATTGATAAACCCCACAGGTTTATAAAAACCAGTGATTGCCGGGCGCGGTGGCTCAAACCTGTAATCCCAGCACTTTGGGAGGCCGAGGCGGGTAGATCACGAGGTTGAGATTGAGACCATCGTGGTCAACATGGTGAAACCCTGTCTCTACTACAAATACAAAAAATTAGCTGGGCATGGTGGTGTGTGCCTGTAATCCCAGCTACTCAGGAGGTTGAGGCAGGAGAATTGCCTGAACCCAGGGGGCAGAGGTTGCGGTGAGCCGAGATTGCGCCATTGCACTCCAGCCTGGGTAACAAGAGCGAAACTCCATCTCAAAACAAAACAAAAAAAACTATTGTTAATGGAAAATGTTTCTATTAATGTTACCTAAATGTATCTATGTTATACTTTCTTCTCCAACCATTCAACAAAAGCTAAAGGCTGTATTTCTCATAATAAAACTGTATTTTCACAAACATAATATAGGAGGAGGACATGAGACTTAATTTTCTTCTTGAGAATGATGTTCAGACTTTGACTTATGGTAATGTGGTGGGGTTAAGAGATCCTTAAATTCCATGGACACAAAAAATAAAATATTTAAAAGACTCAAATAAACTAACCTACAATTTTGCAAAGAACTAAAGGAATTAAGCTAAGGTTGGCAATAGGACCTATGCACTTAACTCAGATTAATTCCTCAAACAATTCTGAGGTAGGTACTATTCTTCCCTTTTTATAAATATTATTCCCTCTATACAGATACAGGGTGATTATAAAATTTGGCCAAGGTCACACAGCTAGTTGATGCCAGGGTTCTAATTTTCTAATCCAATTAGAAACATGAGTAATAAGCAAGAACCTATCAAAACTGACTTGGTAGATTTGAAAAACAATCTAGAAGAATTTCTAAAACTGAAAAATATAATATTTGAAATAATAAGCTCAACGAAAGAGTCAGATAGCAGAAGAGCTTCGAATGAACCAGAAGAAAGGAAAATAAATTTTCCAGGACACAGCACAAAAAGACAGAAAATATGAAAGACACGTTAAAAAAGACATGAAATAGGTCAGGCACGGTGGCTCAGCCTGTAATGCCAGCACTATGGGAGGCCACGGTGGGCAGACTGCTTGAGCTTAGGAGTTCGAGACCAGCCTGGCCAACAGAGTGAAATCCATCTCTACTAAAAATAAAAAATTAGCCAGGTGTGGTGGTGCACATCTATAACCCCAGCTACTTGAGACTGAAGCAGGAGAATTGCTTGAACCTGGAGGGTGGAGGTTGCAGTGAACCAAGATCATGCCACTGTACTCCAGCCTGGGTGACAGTGTAAAACTCTGTCTCAAAAAAAGAAAAAGAAAATACTAAAGTTAAAACAATAAAAGAACAGTTAACTTTTCCACGAGATATAAGTAATTCATTTAAAAAAAAAAAAAAAAAAGTAAAATGATTCTAGGATGTTTATTTCCAGCAATCTGGCTACAAAAAAACAAACGTGCCAGATTAACATCTTTTTAACTTTCTTTTAAACCACTGAGCTAATAAGAAAGTATGGAATATTCAGAGGCCGAAAACTAAATGAAAACTGGAAACCAAAGAGGAAAACTGGAAACCAAAGAGGAAAACTGAAAAATAAAGCCTATACAGGAAGAAGAGAAAAACCCTAGGACACAAGTCTGTCTTAAATAAAACTGGGATCCTAAAGATAGGCATAGGTGACAAGAAGTGCAAAACTGTTGTCAGTTTCAACTACTAATGAACTCTGTCAAATAAAAATGAGGGAAGTGACTAAGAACTGAAAGTAAAGAGTACAAGGAATTACGGGAAAAGTTAAAAGTAAGAGTTGAGGAAAAGAGAAAATAATTTTTTTTAAATGTACACTATACCCACAGACACTAGTCACTTACTCTCTTTGGCACTGTAGGTTCTGAAAATTCCAAGGAGAAGCTTTACTCTGGTGTTTTCTCTTCTGTTGCATCTGTTTCAGGTATTTAGGCAATCTACCAATGTTTTGGTAGACACAAAGTCCTCAAATTGGATAAAGCTTATACAAACCATATTCTTTTGGATCCTTATCACTTAGTCATAAGTGTAAATCATTATGAAAAAAAAAAAAGAGTACAAAAGCATAGTAAGTAGCCCACCAAATTTTCTATTAAGTACAAAAAAACCAACACAAGTTGAGGGAAGATTCTGTTCAAATACCTGGCAGCTGTGATCAGTATCCAATCCATCCCAGAGACTCATAAACTGAGCTTTCATCATGGCTGTAGCTTCATGGTCAGAACTTGAACGGTTTCGTAGGAAGGAGTCTAGAAGTAAAACATCCTTAACCTTAGAAATTAAGAATAAATTATTTACCCACCCCCAACTTTTTTTTTTTTGGGACAGAGTCTCACTCTGTTGTCCAGGCTGGGGTGCAGGACCCTGCAACCTCGAACTCCCAGGCTTAAGTGATCCTCCTGCCTTAGTCTCTCGAGTAGCTAGGACTACAGGTAAATGCCACCACGCCTCGCTAATTTTTTTTTTGGTAGTAAAGACAGGATTCGCTATGTTGCCAAGGCTGGTCTTGAACTCCTGGCCTCAAGCAATTCTCCTTCCTCGGCCTCTCAAAGTGCTGGGATTACAGGCGTGAGCCACCATGCCTAGCCTTACTTTATTTACTCTACGTAATTTAAAATGTTCCTAACACAAGGAAATGATAAATGTTTGAAATGATGGGTATTCTAATTACCCTGATCTGATCACTATAGTATATAGTGACATTTTGACTCTGTACACCACAAATATGTGCAATTATTATTATTTTTAAAATGAGTTTCACTCATTGCCCAGGCTGGAGTGTGATGCCGCAATACGGCTCACCACAACCTCCGCCTCCCAGGTTCAAGCGATTCTCCTGCCTCAGCCTTCAGAGTAGTTGGGCTTACAGGCATATGCCACCACACCCGGCTAATTTTGTGTTTCTAGTAGAGAGGGGGTTCCTCCATGTTGGTCAGGCTCATCTCAAACTCCCAACCTCAGGTGATCCACCCGTCTCGGCCTTTCAGAGTGCTGGGATTACAGGTGTGAACCATGGCACCTAGCCATATGTGCAAGTATGCCAACTAATAAAAAGGAAATATGAAAAGAAAAAATTGTTGAAAACTCTAGGAAAGATTACAAAGAAATTGGGCTATGTATTTTAGACATTCTGGTACAATAAACTTGGTAAATTATTACGCAAAATAAAACACAATAATTCATAATTTCATTTCTTCTCTAAAAATACGTTCATGACAACATATGTAGAAAAAACAAAGGATCTAGTATTGAGAGGCTGGAAGAATTAAGTGGAACCTTGAAGGAATGCCTGTGCATTTTGCCTCTAACTTTCTAGGTCACCTGAACCCTATGTGTTCTTAGTTATGGGGTCACAGACTTTTTTCTCATGCAGTTTCCTGGTATAAACAAAAATGACATGGGAAAATGAATAAAACACTATTAAGCAGAAAAATGTAAGACAGAAAATGATTTAAAACATAGACTAGAATAAACATACATATGTTATACATGGTAAAAAAGCTTTTATGGAAATATACCAAAATGCTAATAACGTTGGTTAGAGCTCAGGGATGAATTTAAGGACAAGTTTAACTTTCTTTTCAAAATTATTTTGTCTTCCAAATTACCTACAATGAACACAAAATGCTTTTTCAAAAAAAGGAAAAACATTTTCTTTTTGAATATAAGACTGAAAGAGAATTAAAAAAAAAAAAAGAAAAACAGTAAAAATAAATCTAGGATTTTCCAGTACAATCCCCATTTCAAGTGTTTTGTCTTATATCCCTATAAATTACTTTCATTTCTGAGTACCTATTACATTTCAGCACTGAAACTACAACTCAAACTTTGTCAATTATACATGAAAATGGCACAAAAATGTCTTGTAATTTGCTATGTCCACGCTTCAGAAAAACATTTTTTATAAAAAGTAATTCCAGCAAAAACAAATTACCATGACATATGAGAGTCCTGCAGTGGCGAACATATATCCTAGATTTACTTAAAGTTTCAATTTTGTAAAATCTGCCCTATTATTAGACTATAATTCAAACTAACCCAATTATTCTGAAGGTGGAAAAACCAGTCGTTTTAAAACTGCGTAATTTTTAAAGACAAATTTAAAATTCAACTGCCTATTTAATCTTCCTAACCTTCACTATCGATAAGTGGTGTGGCAAGATATTTACTTAAATTAATATGAAAAACTTAAAATGCTAGATATGTATAAATAACCATATCAATAATTGTGAGTAGATTAGAGTCTCCAAGTACATGACTACGGTATTAGACTAAATTTAAAAAAAAAAAACAAAAACTCAAGACAGGCAGATCACTCAAGCCAGGGGTTCAAGATCAGCCTGGGCAACATGGCAAAACCCCTCCTCTATTCAAAAAAAAATTTTTTTTTAAACAACTATATGATGCTTAGAAGAAACATACTATAAATATATGGACTCAGAATGATCAAAAAATAGAAAATGACAGGTCGAGTATCCCTTCCTTATCCAAGATGCTGAGAACTAGAAGTGTTTCAAATTTGAAATTTTGGAATATTTACATATACATGAGATATCTCGGGGCTAGAACCCAAGTCCAGATATGAAATTCATTTATGTTTTATATATACTTTATACACATAGCATGAAAGTAATTTTATACAGTATTTTAAATAATTTTGTGCAAGAAACAAAGTTTTAACTGAGTTTTGATTATAAACTGTTATATGAGGTAAGGCATGAAAATCTACTTGTGGCATCATGTTGGTGCTCAAAAAGTTTTGAATTTTGGTTCACTTTGTATCTTGATTTTTTGGATTACAGATGTTCAATCTATATCTGCAAACAGGAACAAAAAAAGTTGGATAAATTTTTTTTAAAAAGTAAATGCACATCTGACAAATGGTGCTGGAGCAATTGGACATTATTAGGCAAAAAAAAACTGGTTGACACAGACTTTGTAATTTTCACAAAAAATTAACGCAAAATGGATCACAAATCTACATGCAAAACACAAAATCATAAATCTTCTAGGAAATAATATAGAAGAAAATCAAGGTGACCTTAAACTTGGTGATTAATTTTTATATGTAACACCAAAAGCATCATCCATCAAAGAAAAAATGTCTAAGTTGGACTTAAACTTCCTGGCCGGGTACAGTGGCTCACACCTATAATCCCAGCACTTTGGGAGGCCAAGGCGGGTTATTATCACTTGAGGTCAGAAGTTCAAGACCAGCCTGACCAATATGGTGAAACTTCATCTCTACTAAAAATACAAAATTAGCTGGGGGTGGTGGCACATCCTTGTAATACTCACTACTTGGGAGGCCAAGGCAGAAGAATAACTTGAACAGGAGATGGAGACTGCAGTGAGCCAAGATCATGCCACTGCACACCACCCTGGGCAACAAAAGTGAAATTCCATCTCAAAAAATATATGTAAAATAAATAAAATAAAATTCCTGCTCTGTGAAAAATACTACTAAGAAAATGAAATGACAAGTCACAGACTGGCAAAAAAATACCTGCTAACATGTACCTGGTAAAGGACTTGTACCCAAAATATAAAAATAAAAAGTAAATAAAATACAAACAATAAAATAATTTAATTGTTCCCAACACAAATAAATGATAAATCTTTAAGGTGATGGATATTCCAATTAGCTTAATTTGCTCACTGCACTGGTACCTCATATATCTGTACAATTATTATGTATCAGTTACAAAATTTAAAAATCAATACAATAAAAAATATTACAATTTTTTTTAAAGGGCAAAAAATTTCAACAGACACCTCACAGATGATAAGGCATATGAAATGATGCTCAACATCATGTCATTATGAAAATGCAAATTTAAAAAATGAGAAATTATTAGATACCTACATAGATACAATCCCCAAAACTGATAAACCCAAATGCTAGAAGATGTACAGCAACAGGAACCTCAGTAATTGTTGGCAGAAATGCAAAACTGTACAGCCACTTTGGAAGACAGTTTGCTAGTTTCTTACAAAACAAAACACTGTTTTACCATATGATTTAGCTGTTATGCTCCTAGGTATTTTACCAATTGAGGTACAACCTTGTGTCCACAGGAAAACCTCTACATGAATGCTGTTAGCAGCATTATTCCTAATTGCCCAAAAGAAGATGTCATTTAACAGATGAATGGAACAAACTGTGGTACATCTACATAACAGAATATTATTTAGTAATAAAAATAAGCTAACAAACTGTGAAAAGACATGGAAGAAACTTGAATGCATATTGCTAAAGAAGCCAGTCTAAAAAGATTACATATTGTATGATTCTAATTGTAACATTACAGAAAAGGTATAACTATAGAGACAGTAAAAAGATCAGTGGATGCCTGCAGTTTGGGAGGAAAAGGGAAGAACAAATATGGGAAGGATACTATTGTGTATGAGATTGTAATGACAGATAAAAAACAGCATGCTTTGTCAAAGTCCATAGAACTGTATAATGAACCTTAAACTACGGACTTTGGTTAATTACAATGTATCAATACTGATTCATTAATAAATGTCTCACACTAGTATTAATACTAAGAGAAACTATATATGTGGGGGACATATGGGAACTCTACGATTTCTGCTCAGTTCTGCAAACTTAAAACCATTGTTAAAAACAAAGTCTACTAATTTATTTTAGAAAAGGTTAATGAAGATCTGAGGTTGCAAGAAACAAAGAAAAAAAAATCCCAGAGTTCAGAAAAAAGGGGAACTAAGAGTTGGAAATAAGAGTTGGAAAAACTTCATGTGATTATGCTACTGTCTGTGTGTTTGTATACATAGCAAGTATGAATACAGACATATACAAAGCACCAAAAGGTTCTGCTTTATTGTTAACATTCACATACAGGCTGAAGCCAAGATACTTGGAAGGATTAACACTCACAGAAAGTGTAGACAAGAAAAAAATCTGCTCATCACTGTGCAAGAAAGTTTGTCCATCTTTGCCTGGGCTCTGAGGGATAAAAATGTCTTCCCTACAGATAAAAAACTAGGACCACAGGGGGTCTCATTCAGGTATGAAGTCTAAATTTGTACCACCATTCAGTCCAGGAACACGCAAACTGAGAAATTATCTAAAATTTGTTCTGAACAATCAGACTCCTGAAGCTCTAAGCATAGGACAGAAAAAGTACTCTGGATCTTCTTAGGCAACGAATAATTCTCATATAAAAACCAGCCTAAAGCCAACTAATGGTACAAATGACACAAGGAAACAAACCACTATAAAAAAAAGAGTCAACATAAAGTAAAATTAGAATTTCAGAACAGAGCAATTCAAAAACTATATAAAAATAGTATGTTTAAAATTCTAAAGCTATAAAAGGAATTGCAATTCTAAAAGAGCAAGCTACAGTAAAAAAGGGAAACATTTTATAAAGAACCAAACAGAACTTCTAAAGTTCAAATATAATCAACAAAACACAAACTCAATGGTTGAAAGATTAAATATAGCCAAAGAATTCCTTTTTATAACTTACTCAAAAATTGAATTATTTTTAAGTTGTACCATTATTTTATGTACAAACAAGAAACTTAAAATGCTGCCAACTCAACTATAACATGCTATTCCAATTTCAAAGATGTTAAAATGTAAAAAACAAAACAGTATGTCTTAGAATTGATGAAATACAGTACAGAACTAAATGACAGACTGTAGAAATGACTCAAAATGAAAGAGATTAGTAATTTTTTTTTTAAGATGGGATCCTGTTCTGTTGCCCAGGCTCCAGTGTGGTGGTATAACCTTGGCTCACTGAATATCCTTAATCTTCCGGGCTTAAGTGATCCTTTCACCTCAGCCTCCCAAGCAGCTGGTATTACAGGCATACATTACCACACCTGGCTAATTTTTGTATTTTTTTTGTAGGTATGGGGTCTCACCATGTTGTCCAGGATGGTCTTGAATTTCTGGACTCAAGTAAACCTCCTGCCTTGGCCTCTCCACGTACTCGGATTACAGGTGTGAGCTACCAGTTTTTTTGTTTTTTTTTTTAATGGGAGCATTGTAACCAAAGATATACAATGGCTGAGAAATCCTCCAAAATTAACAAAAGTCACACAACCACAGATAAAAAAACCACCATAAGGCTTAGCAGGCTAAATGAAAATAAATGCCGACCCAGAAAAAAACCATATTTAAACAGCCAAATGACATAGAAATCTAATAGCAACTAGAGAGAAATGATAGATTACTTACAAACACAAGGCAATAAGGAGAATTCTCAAAAGCAATAACACTGGAAAGATTAGAATGCAATGGAATTGTAGCGTTAAGATGCTGAAAATCATTCTGTATCATTTAAGAGAGAAGGTAGAATTAACACAACTTCACACACAGAAAGAATCCACTCTGCACAACCTTTGCTGAAAGAACTTTGAAGACTTCAGTAAAAAGAAAGTTAAATCCAGAAAAAACAAGATCGAAGACGCAATGGTGAGCAAAATACCTAGTAAACGTGGCACGAAACAAGCAATGCCAGTATAAAATAACAATTAATATAGAAGGTATAAGAAAAATTAAAAATGTTTAACAGTAACATGTAAGAGATGAGATATTATTATTACCTAAGAGTTCCAAGTTCTCTGTATTATTTGGGAGGAGGATAGAGATTACCTTTGACTTTTAAGTTGATATTCTAAATATTTCACTGAAGTAAAAGAATGTAGCAAGAAAAAGGGAATAAAGCAAAAAACAAAAAAAATGTCAATTAAGCCAGTAAATTAAAAGCAAAAAATAATATAGCAGAAATAAATCAGCTAGGTATTATAATCCCAGCACTTTAGGAGGCTGAGGTGGGAGGATCACTTGAGCCAGGAAGGTCAAGGCTGCAGTGAGCCATGATTGTGCCACTGCAATCTAGCCTGGGTGACAAGAGCGTGAAAAAAAAAAAATAGAAAAAAAAGAAATCTGAATATCTCAGCTATCATAATACAATCAAACCAACCACACTTCCCAGTTAAATACAGACTTAAAGTTTTTTAAAAATCTAGCTATCAGGCTAGGTGCAGTGGATCACACCTGTAATTCCAACACTTTGGGAGGCCAACGTGGGGTGGATTGCTTGGCCCCAAGAGTTTCAGACCATCCTGGGCAATATGAGGAAACCCTGACTCTACAAAAAAAAATACAAAGATTAGTGGGTTGTGGTAGCACACACCTGTTGTCCCAGCTACTTGGGTGGCTGAGGTAGGAGATTCACTTGAGCCTGGGGAGGTTGAGGCTGCAGTGAGCCATGATCACGCCACTGCATTCTGCCTGGTAACAGAGTGAGATGCTGTCTTAAAAAAAAAAAAATCTAGCTATGTGTTCCTCTGTTCAAGATGCACACTGAAATAACTGCAGTAAACTGATGAGAAAAGATATATAAAGCAAACAAGTAACCAAAACAAAGCTATACTATATATCTATATCTATTTTTCTCTCTACATATGGTTATATAGCCTATCATACTACATGTAACTATAATAAAATATAATTCAAAACTACGGTAATGCTATATAAATATATATCACAATACTAATAATATCATATTAGTATAACTATATATATTTATATATACATTGTACCAGGAACAGAATGAAAATATCGACCCATAAAATATATCAAGAGTCCATTAATATAAAAGTATGACATATATAGCAAAGGATAGTCTAGTTGACTGTCTTTTGGAAAAGAATGAAATTAGATTCTTTCTTCATGCTATACATAATTTTTAAAAAGAGAACATTTATGGGGATAGTGAAGGTATTTGTAAACCAGATACAAAAAGTATAAATCACAAAGACAAAATAGTGAATATAGCAAACTATTAAACTGCAAAAAAAAGATCAGAATTAAAGATAAACAGAGTAGAAAACAGTTGTAATCATAATAAACATCAGCAAAAGAAAAATGCAAATAACTCCAAAGAAATACTGGCAATTCACAAATAAGAAAACTCAAATGGCTAATCAAAACGCTTAAAGATGCCCAAATTTACCAGCAACCAGGAAAACATAAATAGGTATAACAACTTTAAAGAAATCGTAATCCTAAGGAGGTTGAAGATAGGTAATCGTACAACCAAATGATTCAACTTCTAGATTTCTTTCCTGGGCAAAGATATATACATGAGAAAACATGTACATGGATGTCCACTGCATGCTGTTTGTAACAGAGAAAAGACAGGAAAACCTATCAAATAGGGGAATATATAGTCTATGTTCATTCTACAACACAGAAATTATACATAGGATATTATGATGTTAGTTATGCTTTTTTTTTTATAAATATGACCTAATGAATGTTAAAAACTAAGTTTGATTATCTAAATACCTTTACAAATGGCCTTTAGAAATACTCATATAGAAAAAATAGCATACCTATTTCATCTATAAAGATGATGGATGGTTGTAGCTTTATGGCAAGGGAGAAGACAGCAGCAGCCAATTTTTGAGATTCTCCATACCACTTATCAGTCAGTGTTGAAGGCTGAAGGTTAATAAATCGACAGCCTGCTTCTTTGGCTGTGGCCTTGGCAATCAATGTTTTACCACAGCCTGGAGGCCCATAGAGAAGAACACCTGGAAATGAATATGTTACTTTATTATTACCTTTAAGGAGTATTTGCTTTAATTTACATGATAATCAACAGAAAATTAATTCTTCCCACAAACAACTTTTCCAATATTCAATTCTGCTTTTATTTAATCTTGTTTATAGTAGATAAGGCAGGAGAAAGGAAGATGCCATATTCTAAGCTCAATGTCAGTTAAGAGCATGTATTTGGAGATTATAGTACCCTGTGCCCTCTCCCTTCATAAAAGGGTTCAGTTCAAATGTTCACCTTCACATCCAAATTCATATCACTTTGTCAACAGTTGACAAACAAAATCTAAGGCCCTCCACCTTCACAAGCAAACAGAGCACCACAGTGCTTTGATATTAGCCTACAGAAGGTAAACAACCTCAAAACAGATTGTGGCAAACACAGTTTTACTGCTGCTCAAAGATTAAGTTTTAGCCAAAGGACATGTACCTTTTTCTAAACAGATAATCTTTTCCTAAAAGAAACAGAAATTATCAGTCACTCCTGTTTTAATTTCCAAAGAAATTAAGAATAAAACTGTATTATTAACCTATGGTCTCCATTAACAGCATTTTGCTGCTACAATTTAAGGTAACATTTTTTAATATAAGGGATCTAGAGGTTGGGATCTTTTTTGGGAAACACCATCAACTGTTTCTCAACTAATATGAGATAGCATTTTCTAAATTTAATAATATTAATACTAAAATTATAATTTACTAAATGACTAAATTTAGTACTAAATGATTTGGTACCTAAACTTAGTACTAAGATGGTTATTAAAATAAACCATCTACAGACAGCCCTAACAAAAACTGTTAGTAGGCAGATCTCTCAAAATATTTGCTTAATTCAAAGCTCAACTTTTCTTATAAAACAGCATTTTTAAAAATGCCATCTATATAGATGGCACGTTAGGGTAAACTGGAAGAAATTGGAGATGTCCAAAATTTTATCTATAATAAAAATAAAGTTCAAAATGAGAAATACTTTTGTATGAAATTTCCCAAAACAATCTAAATTTTTTTAAACAAATAAGAAACCTGTACCTGATTCCATAACTCTAACGATTATATTTTACACATCAAACACTTCAAAATAATGTTCAAGCTCTTCCTTAAGCATACGTAGATTTTCCTACTGGTTTTTATAATTCTTGAAGATTCAATTTCCAATAGCAACGAATCCAAGTTTAATATAAACTGAACTTTTCTAAAGCTGACTTTTAAATTTTAATCCATAAGCTTCACCAATACATGTTCATTGTATTTTCAAGCACTCTGAAAATTTTAGTTAAATTCACTTACATGATTAAAATTTGGTTAAGTCAGTTATAATTTGAACCTTCTACTGACACTTTATTTTTGGATGGTTCATGTGAATAAACAATAAAGAATAGTAATCTAAAACCAGTTAATTTAAAGCTGAAAACATACGGGATGATTATTGCAGACACCTGGAATTATCATTAATTTTATCATTTTGATCATGTAATTTAATGTAGAATGCATATCCATTAGAAAACTTTTCTATACATGTTACTTAAATCTCCGGGTTTTTATACTGTTACACATGGTAATTTCCTAAAAAAAAAAAAAAAAAAAAAATTAAATTTCAAGGTTTTTAGAACAAAATATTTATGTAAAAGCCCTCCATATGTTTTGACTTTGTAGCTACTCTACAACTTCATAAACATATTCAGTGCTTTTAGAATGTGGTGTTTATTTCAAATTATGGATTTATCACTTTGAATATCTTCTTTCTAGTAGTTCAGTTTTGTTTCTCAGCAGGATTAAGTTTTTTCCAAATATTCCTGTTCAAGAATTACAATTAGTGTTATTAACTGAGCAGTTACAAGTGTCTGGAGTGTCTAAAGATTCAATATGCAAAGAAAGCTTTTGGCTATCCTACCTTTCTGGAGATAGGCTGTAACAGATAAGGTACACAAGCTGTCAATATACCCTTCTTGACCTGGATTGTTAGTCTTATAATTATTCAGTAAACTGCTTTATCTCCATTCCTGTATATATGTTACTTTACACTAAAATTCATGTTGGCTCCTCTGACATGTTATCAGTGAGCCTAGAGATAACATTATTTAGAGTGGCACCTTTTCTATATACTTTCCTAAAATGGTCTCCACAGTGTTAATATTTATGATGGGTGACAAACAAGTGCTGCAAATGAATGTGAGGCATTTGGCTTTAATTATTAGCTTTGCGACCTTTAAATTAGTTCCTTGAGCTTAATCTGACACTTTTACAACCAATTTCAACAAATAAAACTCTGTGCTTATCATCTTATGCTTTGTAGAGGCTTAAAAATTTAAATCCCTTTTTAAGACAGATGTTTTTGTTAATGACCTTACTTAGTAAGTGCTTACATGCAAATAAAAGATTTCAGAAGAGGCTGGGCACAGTGGCTCACACCTGTAATCCCAACACTTTGCGATGCTGAAGCAGGAGGACTACTTGAGCCCAGGTGTTTGAGACCAGCCTGGGCAACAAAGTGAGACCCTGCCTCTACAAAAAATTAAAACATTAGGTGGGCATGGTGGTACATGCCTTGCAGTTCCAGCTACTCAGGACCAAGAGGCAGAGGGATCATTTGAGCCCGGGAGGCTGCAACAGTGGGCTATGGTTACGCCACTACACTCCAGCCTAGGTGACAGAGTAAGACTCTGTTTAAAAAAAAAAAAGATAAGGAAGACAAAAAGTGCTGGGACAAACAATCCAACTTTGAGATAATCCTCATTTGCAACAAATATTCCACCTTATTAGTGACTAACTTTTTTCTTTTTTAGACAACTATTTATTGGCTTTAATATAAAATTAGTCCTATTGGTACAAAAATAAACATCTATAAAAATCTGCTTAAATATAAATTTGAGGAGAATATGGGTCTTTATAACCTCAGAAAACCTATGCTTATAATTTTTTCCTTAGGTTATTCAGATTTTAAAGAATGCACCAAAACATGAAGTATGATAACATTCACAAATATAATAAAATTCACATGACAAAATAACAATAAAGAAATCAGAAAGTTTACAGAGGAAGTCATATGGTATTCAGATGGAATTTTGTTGGAATTTTAACTGTTGTAAATTTTTAAATGTTTGGGGGAAAAAAATCACTTTTTAAATATAACCATCAGTTTCTTATGTATGACACTTCCCTGTCATCAATTACTGGCATGATGGTGTGCATTAGCTTCAACTTTATATATATATATATATGCAATCTTATTGGTTACATATGGCCTCATGCACTGCATGGATACTGCATAAGTCATTCTCAAATTAACTTTTTTGTAGTCTATGTGAAGCATTAATCATTTCAGCTCAGATAGCAATAAACTGTCTAAGAATAAGATGAAATTGCCAATAACTCTAGTCTAGGTAACCTATTTCCAGTTCCAAAATGGAACAAAAAGGGATACATCTGATTTTATACTCTGCTTCTATAAACTAATATTCAATTTATGTTGAAAGTCAAAAAGTAAATTAATGATCCTCAAAACTGTTATTCTTGATTAAAAATTGTCCAAAAACCTGCCGGGTACGGTGGCTCACGCCTGTAATCCCAGCACTTTGGGAGGCCAAGGCAGGTGGATCACGAGGTCAAAAGATTGAGACCATCCTGGCCAACCTGATGAAACCCTATCTCTAATAAAAAAATACAAAAATCCTAATAAACTAAATGTGTTTTGTTAGGAAAAACTACAGGCAGTGTTGTTATAATAGCTTGGTTGTTTTAACACAAAGAAAATGTCATTTTTGCTGTTAACTGTCATCCTCCACTTTCCAGAAACAAAAATTATATACTTCATAAAAATGCACAGGTATAGGCTTCAGTTACCTTTGATATGTAAATTAATCCACTTTACTGATATAGCTGCAAATTTAGAAAATTATAAGCATTAAAATTTAAACATACTTAATGCCATTTTGATATTTTTAAAGATCCACTTTTGAAAAATCAATGTGACTAATAATTTGAGTTCAGTCTTAACTAACAACATATATCAAACCCATCTAATTTTTGCAATACATAAGATAGGAGCCTCTGCTAAATAAGCTGTCTCATGGAATTTAGATCTGAACGCCATAGTATACCACACACATATCTCTCTCACTGTAAATTATGTACACTTCATCTTAATCACCTTTAACAAGCCTTAAGCATGACAGAAATAGTTGTACAAGCTGGGGGTCATGCCTGTAATCCCAGGATTTTGGGAGGCCAAGGCTGGTGAAGGACTTGAACTCAGGAGTTTAAGACAAGCCTGAGCAACCTGGTAAAATCCTGTCATCACCAAAAACACACACAAAAAAAACAAAAAAATGAGCCAGGCGTGGTGGAGCGTGCCTGTGGTCTCAGCTACTCAGGAGGCTCAGGTGGGAGGATCACTTGAGCCTGGGAGGCGGAAGTTGCAGTGAGCTAAGATCATCTCACTGCATTTCAGCTTGGGTGACAGAGTGAGACCCCATTTCAAAAAAAAAAGAAAGAAAAGAATCGAAATAGTTGAATGAACAAGAATTACACTTAATGATGCAGCTATAAGCACATTCAATTCTTGCATCCCAAGACTTTCAAAGTGATTATGAATAAGGAAACGACTCCATTGAAGTGAAATATTTAATTTCTAGTTAATCTGCAGATCATATTTCCTGAAATGAATCACTACATTCTAAAAATAAGATCATTAGCAGGAAAAAAATTCACTAGAGTTGTGAAAAAAGAAAAAAACATCTTGGCTTGAAAACAAAACAAAACAAAAAAATCCTTGTATTATGATTGAATTTTTCTTTGATCTTGATTTTCCAAAGTTCAATTTATTTGGAAGAAAAATGAAACAGAAATAAGATTACTTAACATGTAAATATAGGGAAAAAGTTTATCTCGATTTCAGAAGCTGAAGAATGAGCAAATATTTTAAGAAATTGTTTGCCTGGATCTCAGGATCCTCTTGAGAATCTGATTTCACAAAAACTCATTGTACAATGGCAGAAAGTTTCAGTGTTTTCTAGGATTTTAATGCTTTAGGCAAATATATACCTTTTACCATACCTTTTGGAGGTTGTAGAAGCCTGGAATTCTCAAACAAATGTTTCTTTTTGATAGGTAAGATGACGGTGTCTTTCAGATCCGTAATGACATCATCTAAACCTGCTATATCACTCCAAGTAACCTGGCCAAAGTTAAGATCAGCATGAATTTTACTACAAATGTACACACACTAAAGTAAAAAAAACCCTCCCAAAATGGCAATGATTATACATAAATAAGTTAAAATTATATATTAACATAAGTAAAGACTTTTCCAAGCAATAATGAAATAAATAAACTACTACAAAACTGGAAAAAGGAATTTAATAGTCAACTATCCACTATTAAAAATCTGTAAGTCAGGTACTCAAAAATCTGCCAGGGTCTGATAACCTGAATTCATTTCACTTATAAGGAGGAAATATTCTGCCACAAGAATATTGAGAACAAGCTGAGACTATTTTAGCACTGGCTGATGGGAAAGAGCCCATCCGGAATGTACCTATTCTACAGAGGATGTTGTCAAGCATCATAGAAATTAATTTAAGAAATAAGGTCTTACAACACATGACTTCTGAATTTTATCCATCAAAAGTAAACCTATGGGCCAGGCATGGTCGCTCACACCTGTAATCCCAGCACTTTGGGAGGCCAAGGTGAGTCGATCACTTGAGATCAGAAGTTCAAGACCAGCCTGGCCAACATGTATTTTTTTTGTAATAAAAATACAAAAAAAAAAAAAAAAATTAGGTTCGGTGGTGCATGCCTGTTCCAGCTACTCTGGAGGCTGAGGCACGAGAACTGCTTGAACCTGGGAGGCAGAGCTTGCAGTGAGCCGAGACTGCACACTGTACTCCAGCCTGGGTGACAAAGCAAGACTCTGTCTCACACACACACAAAAGTAAACCTATGTTAAAACTTAACCAAGTATCTTTATAAATAAAAATAGGGCATACATATTTCCAAAACAGACAAGAAAAACCTTTGGATTCAACTTAAAAAAATGTTTTTGAAGGGAAATAAGCTAACTGAAAGGGACTGGCACAGCAAAGGAGCTGTAGGTAGAGTCAATCAGAAGCAATACTTTACAAAAGATTCATTTTCTTCATACTGTTAAAAAAAAAGATAAAAAGGGAAGGTGTAAACCAGCAGCCAGATCTGAAAAAAGTAACTTTCATTGTCACTGCAAAAAAAACTAAGTCTGTTAGTACAGACTTATTCAGAAATCAATATAGGCAGGGTTCTAAGAAGGTACTATTGTAAATTTATAAATCAAATTCAAACGCAGGCTTAATTCTAAGGTATGTGTATATTTCTGTATACATAGCTATTATAAGACATTGCACAATTCTCTAGATTTGGAGATGGGGCTATTTCCTTCTACTTATTTATAGCAATATGACAATCTATTAGGCAAATATATTCTATTTATAGAATTTATAAATTTATACCTGTTGTTACAAAATATTCATATAGGATCTTCTACATTATATCAATCTGATCCTCAAAATAATCCTTATAAAGTAGGGAAAGCAGTTATTATTATCTCTGGATTATACATGAGGGAACTCAGACTCAAAGAGGAAATCATTTGCCAAGGCTATGTTATCATATTATTAAAATCTAGGTTTAAACTCCATAAAACAAATATCCACATGACTTAAAACAGTATGTTTTATATACCACAAAGGCAAATATTTAAAAGTACAAGTTTTACTAAACAAATGTGTACAGAAAAGAGTTGACAAAGTAGGCCTGAGACTGTTATCCTTAGAAAGGCGAACTTGCAAGACTGGCCCTTGGTTGGCATGTGGAAACTTAGATTTCAGGAGAGTCCCACCAGTTCCTGACAAGAACAGCTCACTGTGCCTGAACTGTTTGTGCAAACAATATGGTTTATGGTGAAACACCCATTTTCTTTCTGGGAGCCTAGAATTTTGATACATTTAAAGGAAGAGGGAATCTACATAATCAGCCCCTTATAAAAACCTTAAGGACTGAGTCTCCAGTGAGCTTTCCTGGTGATAATATCACACATGTGATGTCACAACTTGATTCACTAATTAAGCACTGTGTGTCTCCACTTGGAATCTTGTGCCTTGCTTCCTTCAGACTTCATCCTATGCTGCCTCGCTTCCCTTTGCTGATTTTGCCTTGTATCTTTTCAGTGTAATAAATCATATTCAGGAATACAACTATATGCTGAGTCTTATGATTCAACCAAAGAATAAATGAACCTGGCCATGATCTTTAGGACCCCTGACACAAAATGCTAGACATCCCCCCAAGAAAAAAATCTTAAATAAGATTAAAGATACATACATGCATATTCAGAGGGTCTACTAGATGAGCAGCAATACTCATTTCATATTCTGAGAGCTTCACATTTTTCACACCAATTTGCTTCATTAGTTTTTCTGCCTAGAAAGAAAAGAACAAGCAACCTCCTTTGGTTTGATATTTAGATAGCAGCACTTTGAAATAGATATATGTAAAGTCTAAAGAGCAATGAACAGATAAACAAGAAATTCCCAAGGATATTCTAGGTCCCTTGATCTTAGCCTTCTCCATTGTGAGCTCTTAGGTAAAGAAAAGATTTGATGCTCTACTCCCCAGAAACCAGGGAAATTTAACCACCTCTTAGGAAATGAGAAAACAGGGTATGTGACTGAAGAAATCATGTACTTCCAAGAGGGGCTCCCATTGTTTCATTGAGACTCTAGGATACAGCTTAGTTTCTCTTTCCTAATAAGACTATCATGACAGGTACAGGTAAAATGTCAAGATAAAAGACAGAGGAGTTAAGGAGGGCAAGAAATGTATAACTGAAGTTTCTTTAAACTGGGTATCTATGTCCAACTTCCTTCAAATCATTCCTGGCTAATAGGGAAAAAAACTGTAACTACAATAGATGGTCATATATATCCCATTTTAAACTGCTCTGATATGCTGCCCCTTTTAGAGAAAAGTCAATTCCTGGGACCAGGCAATCAGAGTCATAATAAAAATAACTCTAAATACTTATTTGCATATATTCTCAAAGCATGGCAAAATCAGCAGTAAACCTATTAGTTCCAGAAATACAACAAAGCTTTCAATTAACATAAAGATAATGAAAAACATTTACTGAGTGTGCCAAATATTATGCCAAAATACAGTAAAAGGATTAATTTACTGACTCCTCAGAGCCAATACTATGAGATAGGCATAATTTTTCCCAAACACAGAAAAAGAAACTGAAGCTTAGCATGATTAAGTAATTTGCCTTTGGTTAAAAGTTAGCAAACAGAAGAAACAAAATATAAATTCAAGGAGTCCAACTCTAGAGTCCATACTTAAGACACATATTTGCCCTGATTTCTTCAATTTTAAGACTGGAGTTTGTAACCACAAAAGAGTCTTTACAAATCTATACATAACAAATTCACATTTCAATCAAGTGAACATTGTAGAAATGAAGTGACTCTGGTATATCATGTTTTCCTAAATTTTGGTTCCTACGTTTTCCTAAAATGCTAAAATAGAATCTTGTTCTCTGTCCAGGGTTATGACTGCTCTAAAAGGGAATTCACATCACACAGCATTTTAGTTAAAGAATGGTTAGGACGTTAGGATAAATGTGTTTAATAGCTTTTTTTTTTAAGTACTATTGAAGAGGGAGACCCAGGCTTCTCAGATCAACTTCCCCTTTGACTATCAAGCTGCACTTCAATAGAAGAAAAGTTTGACTGACTGGTGCCTCCAGTTTTACCTTCCTATAGGCGACAGGCTAGGCCTTGGGGAAACTCTCCAGAAGGTACTATTTTTACTTAAAACTGTAAACCAAAACCTTTTCACATGTGAGTCCTAAAACTGTAAACCAGACCCCTTTCATATGTGATTCCTGAAACTGTAAACCAAAACCTTTACACACGTGAGTCCTAAAACTATGAACCTAAGATTCTTCCACATGTAACATCTGAAGTATAAGCCTATATAAAGGCAGAACCTTCCTCTGTTAGGGGAGCTGGGTTTTTGACAAATTACTGCCTGGTCTCCCGGCAGAATAAACTCCTCCCTCCTTTATTCGGTGTGTTCAAGAGATCCATTTCCCATGGCCACTTCTGCTACACTATGGGGGCCAGGAATGGGGGCTCACATGAGTAGTCCCAGCACTCTGGGAGTCTAAGTCAGGAACACTGCTTGAGCACAGGAGTTTAAGACCAGCCTGGGCAACATAGTGAGATGCCATCTTTACAAAAAATAAAAAATTAGCTGGATGTGGTAGCATACCCCGACAGTCCTAGCTACTCTGGAGGCTGAGGCAGGAGGATTTCTTGAGCCCTGGAGGTCAAGGCTACAGTGAGCCATAATCATGCCACTGCATTCCAGCCTGAACATGAGAGAAACATGTCAAAAAAAATTTTTTAAAGTGCTATGAACCACCTCACATAACTAAATAGAATAAATCTCTTGTTTGTCCTGTCGCTGTAAAATCACTGAATCAACAGATAATTTTTTTATAGATTCCTTTATCTCTTTTAAATACTTTCTCTTTTATTGCCATTAATAATTTATACGTCAGTTATAAAAGGTATCCTATTTTAGCATCTGAATAACATTTACTCATTTTCATTATGCTACAGTAAATGTGAAACCCTCCCACATGTGTTCTTTTTAAGCAATGCTCAAAGACAGTAGTTTTCCCAGGGGACATTTCGCAAAGTCTGGAAATACTTTGGTTGTCACACTTGGGGGTAGGGTGATACCAGCATCTATCTAGTCAGTAGAGGTAGATATGCCACTGAAAGTCTACAAGGCAGAGGGCAGCCTCCATTTTCCCATCCCAAAGAATTATTGGCCCAAAATGTCAACAATGCCTGATCTGAGGAAACCCTGTTTTTCTCCCTATTAGCTAGTTGTTCCGAAAATTTTACTCTATGCCACAACTGCCTCTTGATTTAAAGAACAGCCTTTATTTCCTTCTGGAACTTCCTAAATAAAAATGAAAAATGAATGATAATGTTGAGTTTATAGAGATAGAAAACGTTATCTTGTCAAATTTACCTAAGATCTCTTTCCAGCAACAGCAGTCCCACTTTAACAATGTCTTCAGGTTGCATGCCATTAACAGAAAAGGAAAAAGGAACTAATGACTGTACTGAGCACCTATGCTATGGCTGGCACTGTGCTACGTAATTTACAATCAACTCTAAAAATTAACCTGAAAAGTACTATTATTACCCTTATTTAGATCGAAATTTACAGATCAGGGAAATTAAAAGAAATGCCAATATCATACAGCTAGGAAGTGACGTTAATAGAGCTCAAATACTGACTTGTCTAATTTTGAAGCCCATATTCTGCTAAAACACTAATATTCCTCATTTGAGAGAACATACATGGCTAGCAAATAAATGAAAAGCACCGGAAAACACATCAAAACTGCCACCAAACAGTGTCCCAGGAACAAGTTATACAGTTGCCTGGTTTTGACACTTTTAAGTGAATCATTAGAATCTTAACCAGAAAACCAAAATTATGATTGAACTACTATAAAAAATGGCATATGTTTATACATGCTTTCTTATTTACAGCTTACTGAAAATTATATTTTCAAGTCGCCATGGTTTGATTGTTTTTTAAGTGGGTCTCTCCAAGTGGTTGCTTCTATAAGGGAAAAATGAGTTGATGGGGAGTGTATGCAAGCCAAAGGAAGCAGGAAAACTTACTTTTTACTGTATACCCATCTTTCGCTAACTGTTCCATATGATTTTCTACCCTTTCACATTTTTTTTTACTCTTTCATGCAATTTCATTTATTCTCCATGTAAAGTATTATTTTTTAAAAAAGATTAAAAAGTGGACTAGGACATATTCAACTAATATTTTTCCCTGGAGTGAGGAAGGAAGGAAAGCAGCAGCAAAGAAAATACTTATGAGCTAACACTAATTTCATTCAGGTTCTAAAAGATTCATAAAAGTGTCCTTTTGGAAGAATCAGTTTAGAAAGTTGGACATGTCATTAACAAGTGTGAAAACTCAGAGATGAACAAATTAAACCTAAGTTAGAAACAAGGACAACCTCTGATCTGTTTACCAAGGTCACAGCTGAAGTGTTCCAATTTTAAGTGTAGGCAGAGGCATCACTGATATAAAGCTTGTTAGAAATGCATTTAAATGGGAGCAAGCAATCATTCTGAGTATGTAACCATGTTTATATGCTTGGTATAATCACTTACCACAAACTTAAATTAAAACTCTGGAAAACGGCCGGGCGCGGTGGCTCAAGCCTGTAATCCCAGCACTTTGGGAGGCCAAGGCAGGTGGATCGCGAGGTCAAGAGATCAAGACCATCCTGATCAACATGGTGAAACCCCGTCTCTACTAAAAATACAAAAAAAATTAGCTGGGCATGGTGGCGCGTGCCTGTAATCCCAGCTACCCAGAAGGCTGAGGCGGGAGAATTGCCTGAACCCAGGAGGCAAAGGTTGCAGTGAGCCGAGATCGCACCATTGCACTCCAGCCTGGGTGACAAGTGCGAAACTCCGTCTCAAAAAAAGAAAAAAAAAAAAAAAAAAAAAAAAACCCTGGAAAACACCTTCTTCCATACATGTGGAAACAGTGATACTCTTTTAGTGTACTTATATCTCTTTCCTCTCATTTTACCATTTGTATTCTGAAAGTTCTTGGGTATGATGGCTTTATACTGTGAAAGGAAAATAAATCTTGGGGCCCCTAAATCGCGAAGCTGGGAACTGCTTAGGGCCAATCTGCCTTCCATTCTGTTCAAAGTCACCCCTCTGCTCACTGGGATAGATTTATATCTTATTGCCTCCTTTGGAGAAGCTAATAAATTAGAAAGAATCCAAGCATATGTCTCTTATCTACCTATGACCTGGAAGCCTCCTCCCTGTTTCAAGCTGTCCTGCCTTTGCTTCGTGTTCCAGGCAGAACCAATGTTCGTCTTACATATGTTGATCAATGTTTCACATCTCCCTAAAATGTATAAAACCAAACTGTGCTCTGACCACTCTGGGCACATGTTGTCAGGACCTGTGTCATGGACGCGTGTACTCAACCATGGCAAAATAAACTTTCTAAATTAACTGAGACCTGTCTCAGATATTTGGGGTTCACATTTTGGTAACCATGAAGGGATTCGGAGTAGAGGTGCCCCTGACCTTTGACAAATCTCCTATTGGTGCTTGATACCAGCGTGAGCTAACTTTATGGTTCAAACCAATAGTACTATTTGCTAATGTCTGTGAGTACCCCCTCCAGAGAATCCCTGATCTCTCAAAACTTGGTGAAGACCTAAAGTTTATTTTGCTATACAACTCCCTTTTTTTGGAGTTGTACTTGCTTCCAACAAGGATGGCAAGATTTCCTGCTTCCATGATGATGGAAGGCAGGTAACTCGTTCACGGAGTTTGAGCTCA